TAAAAGAAGCCTCTTTCCCTCTCTGTGGATTTACGGGCTGGGGAAGAAGAGAGGGCAGGTCTTCTAGCAGTGGAAGGATACTGAGTCAAAGGGGAGAAGGGTCTCAACAAAGGCCCCTGATAAAAAGGCTGCCATATGAAGGTGTTGGGTTAGGAATGCTGATGTGCATATGAGCATGGCTCTTCTAAGAGTCCTAAGTCTGTGACTGCAACTCACGCTAGAAAACTAATGAATTGGCTATTCACAAGGTGTGAAGAGGTGATATGGTTTGGATGTTTGTCACCTCCAAATCTCATGTTGAAATGTGACTTCCAATTTTGGAGATGGGCCCTGCCTGGTGGGTGGTGACTGTTTGATGGGCGCAGAACTCACATGAATGACTTAGCACCATCCCTTTGGTAATAAGTGAGTTCACACTCCGAGTTCACACCACACCTGGTTGTTCTCTGCTCCCAGTCTTGCCATATGATGGGACTGCTCCTGCTTTGTGCTTTGTCTTCCAACATGATTATTAGCTTCCTGAAGCCCTCACCAGAAGCCAAGCAGATGTTGGTGACATGTTTGTACAGCCTGAAGAACCATGAGCCAATTAAACTTCTTTTCCTAATAAATTATCCAGCCTCAGATATTTCTTTATAGTGAGGCAAGAACAAATTAATACAGGAGAGCAGCTTCTCTCCATTAGGCCTGCCAGACAAAGCCTTATAATTGGATGTGTTCAGACAGGAAGGAAGAATTACAGATAGAGTTTGGTTTGGAAGTCAGACTCCTCAGTGAATGAAACTTACAATAAATTTCAAAGTAAATTCAATAAATTTCAAAGTAAATTCAATAAAGCTAAAATGTATAGAACTAAAAGGAGAAATTGGCATATCATACTTAGAGTCTTTAATATACTTTTTTTTCTATAGTCGATAGAGCAAACAGATAAAACATATCACTAAGGGTGTACAATTTACCCTTGAACAACATTGGTTTGAACTTGTGCAGAACAACTTATACGAGGATTTTCTTCCATCTTTGCCATCTTGAAACAGCAAGATAAACCCCTCTTCTTCCTTCTCCTCAGTCTACCCAATATTAAGGTGATGAGGAGGAAGACCTTTAGGATGATCCACTTAATGAATAGTAAATATGTTTTCTCTTTCTTATGATTTTAATAACATTTCTTATTCTCTAGCTTACTTTATTGTAAGAATATAGCATGTTTTATATACCTATCATGCAAAATATTTGTTGATCAACTCTTTATGTTATTGGTAATGCCTCTGGTCAACAGTAGATTATCAGTAGTTAAATTTGGGGGGAACCAAAAGATACATGTAGATTTTCAAATGCATGGTGCTCCACGCCCCTAACCTTTACATTGTTGGAGGATCATCTCTACTTGACCTAATAAACATTTTCAGTACACTACTGCCAACAACTGCAGAATGCACGTTCCTTTAAAGTACTCATGGAACCTGTGCCATAAAATAAATTCCTAATCAATTTTAGAAAATAAAATCACACATAGTGTATTCTCTGGTCATGCCAGAATTAAATGACAAAAATATAACAAAAAGATATAGAAAACCTTCCATATTGAAATGTAAAATATAATAAATAACGATTGAAAGAAAAATCACAAGATAATTAGACAATATTCTGATTAAAAAATGATAAAAGCACAATGTATCACAAGTTGGAGAGCCACTTCTACTTCCATCCCTTGGTTCCCAGATTCAGATATTCTAAATACAACCCAAATATATAATGGGAGAAACTAGTCACTGTGCAAAACATACACCACATCCTGTAAGATGGTACCCCATTCTTCTAAGACATTGTCTCTCGGATGGTCCTTAAAATGAGTCTTGCAGGGCGTGGTGGCTCGTGCCTGTAATCCCAGCACTTTGGCAGGCTGAGGTAGGTGGATCACCGAGATCAGGAGATCAAGACCATCCTGACTAACATGGTGAAATCCTGTCTCTACTAAAATCAAAATATTAACCAGGTGTGGTGGTGCACGCCTGTAGTCCCAGCTACACAGGAGGCTGAAGCAGGAGAATCACTTGAACCTGGGAGGCGGAGATTGCCATGAGCTGAGATCACACCACTGCACTCCAGCCTGGTGACAGAGTGAGACTCCATCTCAAAAAAATATGAGTCTCTATTAGGCCTTGCCAACTTTGCGTACGGCAGACACTTCTAGACCAGCATTCCTCAAACTTTTTTAAAATTATCCCCCAAATAAACTTTTAAGATATTTTTTCCTAACCATTATAATATATATATAATTTTCTTTTTTACCTCTGTCATTCAAAAGATACCAGGATGGGAAGATAGTAGAAATGAGAGTTTTATTAGCAATATTGGTTTACAAGCCAGGAAGGGAAAGTCTCCAGCATAGACCAAAGGTGTTCTGTCTTTGCAGAGGAGAAAGACAGGCTGGGTTTTATGCCTCACAAGGTTTGTACAGTCATAAATATTCAGCAGGTTTTGAGGGAAAGCTATACATATTTATGAGCGGAGCAGAGTGCATGCAGGATGGGTAAACAGCCGTGTTCACTTTTGGGCTGGGTTTTAGCATTAACATGAGGTGGAATTTGGCTCTTTACATCAAATGGTGAAGTATAAGATGCAAAGAATTTGTGTGTAGGCTCTATAAGCTGCTGAAACTGGCTTCAGGTCTGGAGTAGTTCATTAGAAGAGAATGTTTTTATGGCTGGTCCCCTGTCCAATGAGAGTTGCAGCGATCTGGGTTGTAAATCAGAGTTAGGATAACTTGCCTTCTTATTGTTAAGGAATTTATTGAGAGAGAGAGAGAGAGAGAGAGAGAGAGAGAGAGAGAGAGAGAGAGAGAGAGTCTGTGTGTCTGTGTGTATTTGTAGAAATTTAGAAATGCGTCATGCCAGCCAGCCCCTGAATCCTCCACCCATAGGTTAACTTTGTTTCCTTAATCTTTAGGTCTGTCCTGGTTGATAAGTCATCTATTTTGGTTTCTCAGATCACACCCTCTAAAACCAATTTTTGCCTTTTTAGAGGGCAATATCTCTCCTGTTAATAATGTATGTTTTATATAATATGGTAAGGAGTAATACTAATACAAGATAATCCTATGGGAATTAGTTCCTTGCCACATTTCTTTAGCCATCAAATGTGTATCCCTTGGTCAGAAGGATATTATATGTTGTTTATGAGGTCAATATGGTAAAAAAGTCATTCTGTAAGTATATAGATAGCCGTGCTTGCGGAAGCATTGAGGACAGAAAAGGCAAACCTGGAATACAGGTCTAGTTCAGTTAGAATAGATTGTTGTGTGCTCCAGGATAGAAAGCATTGATAACCACTCCAGAAATTAACCTCACTACCGCAGTCATAACCTTCATAAGAGGCCCAGACTAAACAATGTGTTGCGTGGGTACCAGCTGGTCTCTTCTCAATTACCCCACTACTTTATCAGTGGACTTCTATACAAAGTGGTTTCAGTAACAGGTATGGAGGTTACGCATGGAATCAATATCAAAGACTAGTGATGATCTGGCTGCCACCACTGCCAAGTGCCCAGCCAGCAATAGCAAAAGGCTAACGTTCATCCTTTAGCAGAGAAGCATTCTCTTTCTAGAGATCAGTAACCTGCCTGGGAGGAGACTGATTACAGTATTCCCACCCCATGAACACATGTACCCCACTCCTACTGTCTCCCTTGCCCCCATATGCAAAAGTTGGAGTCTCTTTGATTGACATTTATCTTGAGACCCACAGATTTTTCATTGCCTTTTAACCTAATTTTTGATTGCACTGTTCATCATGAAAAAGTTCCCAAATATTGAGGTTGACTTTTTAATTCCTGCCCAGAAATCATCACTATTGAGAAGGAAAGAATAACTTTTACTCTATCTGTATAAAAGAAACAAAGAACTTGTTTTCACATACTTCCAAAACCTCATAAAATGGAATAATATAAATTATAAATGAAGTCAATCCTCCTACATGTATAATTATTGATATCATCAGGAATCTAACTGTATATCCAAAATGATAAGTTTTCAAACAAAAATATATGATTTATAATTATCCTCCTTTTAGGTTTAGGGGAATTCTTGAGTAATTAATGCTTTTGGAGTCTTAATATCTGTTTTTGAATGCTCAAATTGAAACAAAGTAGAAGAGCAGGACTCAGTCAAATCTAGATTTGGGGACTTAATGATAGTTGGTGAAAACAAGTTAAGTCTGTTTTCCTCATATGGTCTGAGAATAGGTTAGGGTAAGCCACATTTATACTAGAGTTCTGCCTTTTCTTCCAAGTGATTCAGCTAAACACCATGTAGATTTTCCATTAGGTAATAGAATGTTCTTTCTTAAAATAGCTGTAGCCCAAAAAGCTATATTTTGTGAGAATGAAGTCAGAGAATTAATAAGGAGATTCTGTACAGAGTACCTTGATCAATTTCTGAGGAGAAATATATAATCAAGGGTGGACCAAGGTCACTTTTCCTGATGTCACTCCCTCTGAGAAAGAGTCTGACAGAACTGGGCCAACAGAGCCCAAGGGAAATGGGAGTTTGAAGCAATTATCTAAATGATTCAGAAAAAAAGGCACACTTGGGCCTTGAAAGTCACCCATATGAGTAGAAGGGGAATCTAAATGTATTACATCTTGTTAGGAATGTATGAAAGTATCTCTTGGACACATATACTGATACTGACAAAAAGGCGAAGTTTTATCACTGGAAAAAGTCGGCTCATCTACATTAATCACATTAAATAAATGCTCAGTTTTCTTTCTAGTTTGCCCTATAATAGTGCCTTTCATCCACATAAGAAGTACCAATAGTGTTCTTACATTCTAGCAATTATACTTTAGTATTTCTAAAATGATTTCCTCACTAAGTCGCATGACTTTTCATCTGTTAGAAAAAAGTATCAGTGTAGCTGATATGGATACTAAGTAAAGCAGGAATGGAAAAGGAAAGAGCTTTACTCATTTAATTCTGGAAAATAAAAAGACTTCACAATCTATTTAAAAAACCATTTTATTCACAGGGTACATTTACAAATTTTCTCCAAGTAAGGGAGGTAGAGAAATTGAGACTTACTGAACCTTCTCACTGCCAGCCATAATTACAATGAACACACCAAAGAAAAAGACATGTTTTTACAGCAAACCTCCTCCTATGACATTGCATTTAGATTCTGTGGAAAGAAACAAGTCAGCAGAACCAAAAGAGATAGATACTAACTTTTCTATTCACACTGTAGAAAGTACCAATTAAAGTTTTCTTTTTTATCTGCAACATTTTATATGTAACTCTAAGAAAAGACTTGAAGTACACTGATTTTTCTCCACACTTTCTGCCAGTGGAGGTTGACTTTAATAGAAAGAAGCAATTCCCATATACTCTTCAAAGGTGATTTCAATTTTATAGTCTAACCTAAATTTTTTCCCCCAGAATTATAACACTCATGAACTACTAGTCAGATTATATGAGAAAAAACAATGTTTAAATTTTTCTTATCTCCTGACTTAAAATTTGCTCTTGAGAAACAGTTTTCACACCTGCGTAATAATATTACAATGTGCCATAACAGAGTTAAAGAGACCAAAAAAAAAAAAAACCTTTGTCCCCAATGCTTTTTAGACCACTGTGCTGCATGGCAAATGGAGTTCTAGTAATATTCCAGACTTTTTAAAGATTAAGCAGGCTTTTCGATGGAGCTGTATTTGTTCTCTTCTCTCTAGTGTCCCTATGATGTACCCTAATGGCCATCAATCATCCTAAATTGTGAATCCTGTATATTAATTATAACGGGAGTATCTGTAGTAACCTATCAATAAGAGAGCCCAACGGTACTTAAGACTGAATGAAAAACAGTGACAGATTGACTCCTTGCTTCTGGGGTTTGCTGGAGAAACAAATGTTAATCCCCCTGCAGTTATCACCTAAGGGTCTACAACTTCAGTAAAAGATATTTACATACTATTATCAGACTTCTCCAAGGCCTAGATGCTATTGTACAGTTCTATAAAATAGTCACATTTGCTACATTTACAGGACTTCTTGATGATAATGATACAACTTGGAACAGACATGGTTACGTCTCTAAAGTGACAGAGGTACGTGAAGGACACACATAAGGAAGGAGGGTTCAAGCCAGAAAAAGTTAAGGCACCCTCTGCCACTCCCCACTCTCACTGAATCAGCCATCTCCCTCTTCATCACGGGAGTAAATTATGTTAAGAGCTTACGTGTATGTGTGTGTGTTGTGTACACTGGAACACAGGGGTAGACAATGCATCTGAGTCAGCTGAAGTAATCATGGATACAAAAGCCTGTTACTGAAGTAATTGTGGAGGCAGGGTTAGAACCTCCTGTTCTAACTCTAGCTATGCGAGCCCACTTTCCAAGGGTGAGGGTCGAAATGACACTTACTGCTATCACTGCCTCATGATGACAGGAGATCTAAATAATAATATGATTTGGGGAATATGTGCTGAGGTGCAGATGAAAGAGGGCTATGAAAACGGGGAGTGTTGCTTCACTGCGGTCAAACACAGGAGAGCAACCCTCTGAAAGGGACAGCAAGAGATGGAGCCTTAAGGCTGTCATGGTCCAAGTGAGTGAACACGTGCCACTCTAGTCTCTCCCTCAGCATCTCATGATCTTGCTGTCACACTGTTTCCTCTAGAATCTTCTCTCTCTCTCTCTTTTTTTTAACCAGGGAAAAGGGTGAACATAGTCTCCCACTACCACAAATTATGCAGTCAACTTTCCCACATTTGGGGAGATCACAGGGGTCGGCACATCCAGTATGCAATGAATAAGCCTCACCCAGGAAAAACCATCCATTATTAACCACAACAGCTGAATGACAAGGTATTTCCTATATTTCAAAAAGGTTCCATTCTTGAGACTGCACTCAAGGTCAACAGCCTCTTTCTTGCTTCCTGCTGAACTCTCTTCTGAGATCACTGCCAATCATCCTTTCTAATTAAAACCAAGATTTTGCCTCTTTTGTTTTCATTTTGGTTAAACTTTTTTTTTTTTTTACAATTTTCTGTTTAACTTCCTGTGCAGATAAAATAGACATTATCTGATTCTTAGTTTTTCTGCCTTGGATTAAATCACATCTCTTAGATGCGTATGGATATTGTGTGAAGCATACATTTTAAAAATAAACATGTAGAGAAAAACCTAATTACATAGAAGCAGAAAGAGGCAGGATCAATACATCTGGATATTATTCTATAAAATTCTCAGACAGCCTGGCATCATTGATTATACTCACAGCTTCAACAGGAAAAAAAATCAGAGAGAATTTTAGCACATAATGTAGAGATCAATAGAAACACAGAGGGGTGACCATAAAATATAATTCCTCTTCTGTGCTTTAAAAAGTATAGTCATGGGCTTTGACTGTCTGGCAAATGCTCGCAAGTATATAAGTCAATTTATTATATGGTATTTATTCCTTATGTATTAGAGACAGAAGAAATCAGAAATGTTGGCACCAGAAAAAAACACAAATTAGAAGGAAACAGAAGCATGTATTTTTCCCTTATTGAAATGATGAGCAGAGGCTGTGTTATGTTTGAATAAGCTTTTCATTCATGCACTTGTTTCCATCTCTCACCCCTAAAATGTATGTAAAAAATTCAAAAGACAAGTCTGGGCTGAGGGTAAAGCAGATGGTATCCCTTTTCTTATGATAGAAGGGGAAAAAAGCTACAGCAATTATAGATTCAAGTCGCCTTCCACTTGCAAAATAGAAATTTTGTAGTGCTCAACCTAAATATTGTGGCCTCATATTTAGGAGTTTATAAACAGATGCTCTGGGCTTCAGACTTCCTATGAGTTAGTTCCTAGGGCTTTTAAAGAAGTTATGTAGGACCTTGTGGACTATTTGATATCTCCCTAGCTTCAAGGACTCAGACTATCCATATGAATGAGGGGGAGAGTTTCACTTTAGCATCACTGGCAGGGCTATAACTAGGTCGGGGTGATTAGACTCTGCCACAAGACACCCAAATTTAGACAGCACGAGGTTAAGCAAAAACAAGAGTTTAAGGCAGTGTAAAATTTTGAGCTCCTCAGCAAATTTCCACACTACCTCTCTAGTCACAATGCTACTAGCTCAACTCTGGAGCCAAGGCAGCTCTCCTGGGAGAGGACAGAGACTGACAGTGCTAAAAAGCCAAGGTTAAGGGTAGAGACCACTCTTGCCTTTTATATCCTGAGACTGTGGGGATAGGGTTATCTCCTTTCAACTTGCCTCTCCCTCCTCCTAGCACATGGTGGAATGAGGCTGCTAGTTACATTTACTGCTGACTTTATTAGAGGCTTTGACCTAGGTTGCAAGTACCTTGAAATTGTTATCCCACTTCTACCACTTCCACCCCTGATGTGTGCACAAACTAAAGTGATATACCTGAGAGTTGACCTATACGCAGGGAAGATACAGAAAGAAAAAGCATAGTATTACTCTCAGTCCCTACTCCTCCACAAGCTTGTCCTCAAGTTCTCATCAATGTCCTTACAGCTCTTGATCTTTGGAATTCTAGAAACATAGAGCATATTTTACCTGGTGCTGGTGAGAAAGTATTTCTACAACACAATGAACATTTCCTAAAGTTTTCAGTGGACTGGTAACATTCCCCTCCTCCCAACAAGGATTTGTCAGTGAAAATTTCACAAAGTCAATATTTCCAATATAGAAACTAAAACTCTGGATGCCTGACTTTCTATTAATAAAGAAATCAAAAATTATATGTAATAAAGTTATAAAACTGGAATAGATAGCTGCTGACGAAAAGAAATGTTATCAATATTGTTTCCATTTTTGATCATCTCTAACACTTTTGTAAAGCCTTTGACTAATCCAAGAATATTTTTGGCAAATTTAAAATCCCAGGATTTTTTCAGTTATTTTCCATTGTAAGCCATGTTGTCCAGATTGCTTCAGGTACAAGTCATATATAGCCTAAATATTTTTTTTAGCCAAGAGAAAGACATGAGACATCACAAAGCCAAACACAGTACTGTCTGAGCATGTGCCATTTGGAATCATTTACTTCCTACTTTTGTTAAGACAGATAAAAGTGAACTGTACAGAAACCAAATCCAATGAGCACTTCCTTAACTTCTTGTATGAGAAGTATGCAGTTTAGATGCACAATTTTGTAAAACTTTTGGCAAAATACTCTATATAAAGCATATGTGTCTGTGAATCATTGTCCATATAAAAACCTTTCACGTAAACATTACTTTTCTTAGTTATGCAATGGCTTAATCCTTCACCTATCTTAATTTTACTGAAGTGGGATTAAAATTAAGCAGAGGCCATCCTTAGTCATGATCTTTGGAATCAATGCAGTTCCAGAAGTGAGGCTAACAAAAAAACTGAAATCCTGTCAGGGTACTAGTTTTTAGCCTCCCCACCCTTCCTTTTGTCCCCATGGAGCAAGCTAATATTCATTCCTCACTACACAATTTTTTAAAATTAGTCTGATGGCACAAAGTGATGGCCTCTCTTGGCAGGTGCAAAATCAAAAGTGATTAAGTGATTAAAGATTTGCTTATTGAATGTCTTCTGAGCTGAATCTTAAGGGTTAGTCATATCAAAATATAATTGACCAAATCTGGAAAAGTACCAGGCCCAATTCTGAAGGTCTTAATTTCAGAAAAAGTAAAATAATGGGAGCTTAAAATTGAAAATCTTAATAATAATAGAGTATTCCAAAGCAGTCAACAGGATGATTCTAGCGAGGTCTTTACTTAGGAACACATAGCACAGTAAGGATAGAAGATGCCTAACTTTGTACTACACACACACACACACACACACACACACATATATATACACACACACACACACGCACATACACTTCTATCTAACCAACCACAGCAAAAGGCATATATGTATGGCACACCTATGAGTTGTAATCTACTGTAAGAAAACATTCTCATTAAATTGTAGTCATACTTTGAATGCTGTGAGCATGTATGCTTACATGTAAGTGAAGACAAAGCAGAACAATCAAAATTTCATTTTGGGCTAATCCAGGTGTCTCAACCTTGGTACTACTGACATTTCAGCCAGGATAATTGTTTTGTTGTGAGAGGCTGACTTGTGCATTATAAGTTACTTAGCAGGATCCCTAACCTCTACTAATTACATGCTATTAGCGCCCTTGAGTCATGAAAATAAATAATGTCTACAGTCTCCAGACATTGCCAAATGTGAGCAGAGAGGGATAAGGAATCACCCCAGCTGAGAAGAACTGGTCTGATCACACATCACCAGCACCAGCCATTTCTGTTTTGCCTTTCAGAAGCCACATGAAATAGTTTTACAACTTTGTAAACTAAACGTTATAAGTAAATCTACTGCATAAATCTATCCCAGGCATCAAAACAAGATGCAAAATTTTCACATAATATTTTCTTTTTCTTTTTTTGAGATAGAGTCTTGCCCTGTCATCCAGGCTGGAGTGCAGTGTCGTGATCTTGGCTCACTGCAATCTCCACTTACCAAGTTTAAGAGATTCTGGTCCAGGAATCTCTTATTTGCAATGGAACTGTGATTATAGGCTTTATGGAGCTCATTAAATACATTTTGACAATTTTAACAATTAAAGCACTAATCTCAGTAACACATACGTTATTATTATATGTGTTTTTTATTAAGCCTTTTACATTTTTAATGGTATACTAGTAAAAATGGATCTTCTTTTAGGTAACTACTAAATAATAATAGCTCAAAAGAAGAAACATATTCAGTTTCACTCAAAGTGAATATTTAACACAGTTTCTTCATGATACATTCTCATTACATTTTTGCTGCCATGGAGCAAACCAGTTCTCCAATAGAATTGATACTCAACTTCTTAACTTTCTAAGTAGCAATATAATCTGCATTATCAACAAGTCATATTTTAAAGGCTAATTTTTATAATAACCTCAATATTTAATTTCATTTAGAAATGGCCTACTTCAATTATGTAGAATTTTGCCAAGGACTTTGTTAGGTTGATGTCATGTTATATTAACCCACCAAAAATACCACTCACTATTATTTACATGGTGACATGGTATGCTAAGTTTCTACTGTTAAAATTAAACTAGAACTTTTTGCTACCATTTACCTACGGTTTGTTGACATTAAAAATAATAAAGAAATTAAGTTCTAGTGTCTCATTTTAGCTTAAGACATTCCAAAGCATGAAGACGATGAGAGGCTTTACCTTTCTCTGAAATGTAAACACATTTGGCTACTTGTAATCTGTCAGAGTTTTTTTTTTTTTGCTGTGTATCAAAGCTCGTGTAACAAGGTGTTACCTGCTACTAAGGAAATAAACAGCTACTAATTCACATCTCTTGACTTGTACAAACTATACCTTTTGTGGCCATGCTCAACACCAGGCCGGCTCATGAGATGTTAGGTAAGATCAGGAGGAGTAAGACAATTCTGCTTATTCCAGGTAACCATTTGGGGGCAAGACTCGCCTCTCATGCCGCTATGGGAATATGTGCAGCAACCAGCGAGCTCGGTTGTCTTACAGCAACATGGAATGGATAACGCATAACACATTTGTGACTCTCCAACACTGGTTACAAATTTTTGCCATACCAGGTCATACGAGTTCAGCTTTCATAGTTGCACAGTAATGAGCTTTGCTTAACTGTGTGTGTGTGTGTGTGTGTATGTATGTCTACATGTATGTACGTGTGCATTCTTGCATGTATGCATACATGTGCTTTATCTTGCAGTGAATATGCCATGGTAGATAGAAAAGGGATTTGTCTCTGGTCTGTCTTCCACAGAAACTAAGCTTTTCATTATTGTGCTTTACTGCTTTTCTGGGCATTAAATTATGAAGACAATTACGCCAATTTACAAATAAATAATGTACTCATACTGGTAGTCTTTTGCACTAAAATAAAAATGACAATGCAAACAGGCTTACATAATGCAGACCTAAAATTGGGTTTATGTCCTAAATTCTGAGAAAGAAAAGTGGCTCCTCTTATCCAGACTGTGAATCAACACAGCCTAAATTCAACAATGCTTCACATTGTCTATGTAAACTTGACAAAAGAGGAAGAAGCAATTCTTAGGCAAAATTTTAAAAATAGAAGGGAGCTACAGTTAATGTCGATGTAGCTCAACAAATCACAATCACCAGGAATAACATTTTGTATCTTTATTACTCAGGAAGGGATGTTTTTATATTTCCCCTAAAGAGGGCAAAAATAAATAATAATTTTTTTAAAAAAACCTACGGTTCTAAAACCAGTCTTGATAAGACAGGTTCTTATTACTACTATTAAGCCAGTTTGTGTTGACAATCAGCAACAGTTTTAGCCCAGCGTTTTCTTTCTTCTACCTTGATTAGTTCCTCAGCCCTAACAACTCGAGTCTGTCTTGTTTTTGAACCGCATCTTCTAGATTTGAACCATGTGCTTTACCAACAGCATTTCACCAGCATTTTACTAGTTGCAAATCTACCATGTGCTATAAAATATTTCAGAGGATGTTCATTTCTTATTTGTTTTCCAAGCCAATACTGAAAGCAAAGTTTTACTTGGGTCTTCATTGTTCCTTTCCTGTTTTTCCAAGCAGCCCGTGCAAACCCATGAAACAACTTGGCCACTCCCTCTTGGAGTCACATAGAAAACCTAACAAAAATACCCTGGTTCAGTCCTTTCTCCTTCCAATGTCCCTAGGAAGTGGGCTGGAGTAAGGTGCCCTCACATGGGTCCAGCTGCATTCTCAGTGCACCGATTTTATGAAGATACCAGAGTTGGAGAAACTCCTCGGGCATGGCATGGAAACCAGAAAAGGGTAAGACGTTATCGTAGTAGTGGTGGCTGATGGGCTGCTCATGCATATTCACAGAGAAGGGCCAGAAGCCATAGATGGCCACCTCTTCACAGAGACCCAGAGCTGCGCTCACCAGAAAAAGTCCTGTGGACAGGCGCTTGGCATGGATTCCTCTACTTTTCCAGAACTTTCCAATGCTACGCAGAAAGTTGGGGTTGGCAAACAGCACTGTTTGATTGGCACCAACATCTGACAGTGTATAATAAACCCGCAAAGATGGCTCTGTTCCTGTCTTCATAGAAAAGGCAGGCATGTAGATGTAACTGTGGTTATAGATTTTCATGTTGTCCACAAACGTCTTTCTGGACCACAGCAGGTTCTGAAACCTATTAAAGAGAAAAAAATGGTTCAATTAAAACTAGAGAAAAAGAAACTCACTAAAACCCACTCTGTTGTCTTCTGATGCCCCTGATAGTTCAAATCTTCTCAGTGAAACATACGAAAAACACTTTATTTGTATTTAAAATCCTCCTTGAACTTATCAATGATCTCCCAACAAGTATCCTGGCTTTTTCCCTGACCCCAACTTCTTAAAAGCAGTTAACATTCGTTAATGGGGCTCCCTCTGAACTAAAATGCATTATACGTTGGTTTTCTTCCAGAATGTTTTTGCCTGAAATGTAAAATGGTTTAATTCTCATAAATTCACAAAGGTTGTTGGCTGAGATTTTGGGTTGAGGCTGTTAGGTGGCCTACCATAAGCACAGGACTGGTTTCTTCATCTGCAAATCAAAGTAATCACTTCTGAGATAACTCTCCCCACGAAATTCTATGACTCTATAAGTATTCAGATTCATTAGTGCTAGAACTATAAAATTACATGGAAAAAGAAAAGCTTGTTACTGTTATGAAAGGATGCAGGGAGTTGCCCATATTGCTTGCTCCAAAGAACTCCACTTTCCTGTGTTCTTTCAGTTTGGATTACATGAAATTCAAGTGCAGTTGTAGAAACAAAGATACAAATAAATACAATAGAATGTTCTAAATACACTGTTGATATTTGTATAAAGTACTATGGAATAGAGATGGAAAAAATAATTCTGTCTTGACAGGGAGTGTGGTCCAAGAAAGCAGCAGTGTGGAAATAACATCTAAATACCCTTCTTATACAGAGACATCAGAAAGAACAGCAACTAAACTAGAAGGGACACTTTGGTTATAGGCAAGAGTGTGCAGTATACTGAGGCAATGACAAGGATTCCCTGTCCCTAGAATGTGGGAGGTGCTAATGGCGGGGGCAGTGGCTGAAGACAAAGCCCTCTTCTTCAAAAAACCTCTTATGTCTATCTTGTTTGTTTGAACGTCACCATGTGGCAATAGGAAACCTTTACAGGAGTGACTGTTTACAGCACTCGTGACAACTGTCAGTCTCTGTTAAAAAAGGTACTCTAGTAGAATAGAAGATAACCTTGGAAGAAAGAGGCTGGTTGCCTGGAGACCAGGTAAGAGGCTGCTAATATACTCAAGTAAAAAAAGAGGGACAGACAGAGGGGGAGGGAGAAATAAGGGAGAAGAGAGAAAGAGAGGGAAAGGCAATGAACTAGACTAGGGCTTTGCAACTTTTAATTCCTTTCATAAGGGAAACTACCCATCTTGGGTTATGTGCAGGTGGAGCAGCAGCATCAAATAATGAACTGACCCACAACTAGCAGAGAAAAGTCTGGTCTGACACATTGGCAGGCTCATCATAATTATGCAAAATTAAAGTTCTGAATACACAATCCACAGGATTGTACATAGCAATCAGTGTTATTTTCTCTGCCTGAACAGAAAGATATGTTTCTCAAGGCCAGAAGGAATGGAAATGTCTCAAGTTTTCTTCATGTCCTGATCCAGAAGCCTGCTTTATCAATTTTCCCTGGGCTCTGACAGGGAAGTAATAACAGGGTCTTTAGGTAGAATCACTTTAACTTAGAAGAAGTCATAGAAGCACATTCAACCATATCTGAAGCTGGGCCAGCCCCTCCAATACAAATTCCTGCTTCCCAACTTCCAAGTGGGCTCTGCTCAGCAACTGTTTTCTTCTTTCCATTGCCCACCCATATCTTTCACCCTCTTCCTAAAACACCAATGCTTTCCCGATCATATAGACACACTATGCAGATAACTTCCTACTCTATTTGAGCCATTGGTTCTCACACTTTAGTTAGAATAACCCAGAGACTTCACTAATATCATAGCTTCCTGGGTTCTGATGAGAATGATCCAGGGGCTGAATTTTAACCCAGCACTCCTGGGTAATTCTGATACAGGTGGGACATAGTTATTTAGAAGAGCAAAGCATTAGTCTGGCTCTCTGCATTCATCCCTCACCACCTTTTTCTTTACATCTTCTAATGTTATCCCTGCTGCCACTCTAAGAAGTGCTCGATCTTCCCCTTTGTATATTGAGATAAACTGTTTCACATTTCCTAAAGAACTCATGTTCTAAAGTGGGCCTCTCCTCTTAAAAAAAAAAAAAACAAAAAACTTTGACCTCTCCATCTCTACTGAATTATTTCCTGTCTTCTAAATATGGTTAGAACTTTCCCCTTCAACTTTACTAAGGTATATTTTACCAATAAAAATCATGTATATTTAAGGCATGCAATGTGATGTTTTGATATACACATATATTATGAAATGATTATAACAAGTAGGTTAGAACTTTAAAAAACTTCTTAATATGCCCACACTGCTCCCAGTGCTACATTCTCATTCTCTCATTTCACCATCAACCTTCTAGAGCAGTTCAGATACTTCTATGGCTTTCCTTGCTTGCTTCCATTCCCTTCTTATTCCTGTACAGAATGGCTCCCATTTCACAGGGCTCTCCTGGCTGCTGAAACTGATTCCTGTCTCTGCAGTGGACTACATACTAGTGGAATTATACACAGCTTCAATAAAGTCAAGATGATTAACTTTGTGTTTTCTGTCTTAAAGCCAACTGATTAGTCTTGAAGGAAGTAGTTTTCCCTCTCTCATTTTTCACTTTGAAAAGGAACACATAACTTGAATTTATTACAGCCCTAATTTTATTGACAATGTTATTATTTTTACCTCTCCCATTCTGCAACAAATGACATTATTATTTAATAACTTGATACAAGTCAATAATTGTTATGGTATACCAAAGATGTTTAATATTATCCTGATCAAGAGTTTCGTGGGGTTGGTATTGAATTTTATTATATTATTACAAAATTCAACTGGAATTAGAAAAGAAGGGTGCTCCAGTTTGTCTCTCCAGCTTCATACTTAACTACTCCTCATGTCCTCACCCTGTGGTCCAGCCATCCCTCTGTGAGTATCTGCCCACAATTTTTATTGCATATATAGATTCATTTTTGCTGACCTAGTCATCGCCCGGGTGAAGTTGTGCCTATGAATCAAGACCCAACTTAAGCTTTTCTTTATTAACCTTATTCCTTCCTTTCAACTTAAGCTTTCAAAAGTCTTCTTTGAATTCCTGAACTATAATTGCTCATAGTCTCCAAGACTATATGCTTCTTGAAAATGAGACAAGTCCCATTCATCCTTTAATTTTTTATAATCTAGCTTAGAATATTTGTGTACTATATGAATAGAAAACTATTAAATTATAATTTTAAAAAATAAAAAGAAATCAGACCAGCCTATGAATTAAGATAAAAATGAAATTAGATCAGTCCATAAATTATTAAAATAGAAATGATTAATTTATAATCAATATGGGCATAAAAGGAAAAACAAAAACAGAATGGAAAGCACAAAAATATACCACATTTTAAAAAGGAATTGAATATGTGATAATGCAGACAAAACCAGTAAAATTTTTTAAATTACTTAATAAGCAATATTGAGATAGTTAGCTAACAATTTGAAAATCTGAGAGGGAATAGATTCATACTTCACATGACAATTCCTAAATAATTTTAAGATAAGTACAATAAATATCTAAAATCTAGCCAGCACAGTGGCTCAAGTCTACAATCGTAGCACTTTGGGAGGTCGAGGTGGGAGGATCACTTGAGGCCAGGAGTTTGAGACCAGCCTGGGCAACACAGCAAGACCCTCATCTCAATAAATATATAAATAAATAAATAAATAAATAAATAAATAAATAAATAAATAAATAAAATTTCTGTTACAAAAACATCTTTTAAAAATCATGGAACTTATCAGACATTTGTAAAATATATTTTGGCAAAGGAAAATATTGACAAAATTGATTATGTCATGATGTAAAATTTCATTACCATGAAGAATAAGGTAACTAAAATAAAAAGGAATTATTCCAAGAAATATTTACAGTAAATAGGACAAACATAAATTCATATCAATAATCTTTAGAGTCTAAATATATTGATCCATTGATATGAAAATGGACAATTAATCTAGAAGGAATTTCTATTAAAAATGTTAAAGTGTTTGGTTACAGTTGCAGATGCAAACTGAATACAAAGAGGAATATTAATAGAGTAGAAAGGATCAGAATAAAGGGTAAGGGTCCAGCTCTCACCTCCTATGAACAATCTCTAGAAATAGGAGAAAATAGGTTTAAAAAAAACCCATATCCATGCTGAAAATAAAAAAGAAAGCAAACCCTCAGTGGGTGCTGAATCTAGGTTACCTCAAAAAAACCAGCAAGTTTACCAAAGGAAAGCAGAGCATGAAGTAGCTTACTGAGCATTTCTCTAAAAGGTGGCAGTAGCGGTGCCCTATGCCTGAAGGCAGGAGAAACTAGGGAACGTGGTGTCTAATAGCAATCAGCAAGGTTATTGCTCAGATTATGGGGTAGCAGGGAAACCCAGGTGGACTGAACTCTAAAATACTGCACCAATCAATTATCACTGTATATATGGAAGGAGGTGTCAGTTTCCAGGCAGGAACAGTGGGTATGTGTCCAGAAAGCTGGCTCAGCCCAGGGAAATGGAATTCTCAACTCATACAATATCAGCAGTCAGGCTGATAGTTCCCAAGTGGAATACTGACACTGAGTGGGCCAAGGAGAAGACCTACAACCGGTGACATTTGGGAACTGTCCAAGAGAAAGCAATGTTGCCACCTTCTCAACCCACAGTGAAGCCCACCTGTTGATAGGTGCAGTCTCTGCACAGAGCTTCTAGTCACCAAACAAGAACAGACAGCCAAGCTCAGAAGACACTGATGGATGGCATCTAACACGAGAGTCAGAGCAGAGGGACTCAGAGGAAACCAAAATCATTCAAGGGGCAGATGAAAACTCTCAAACAACTATAATTAGTTTGCTTATTCCTTCCTATTCATGAATATCACATCTGGACTAGGATGATATGAAAAGAAAAAGCATTTAGATAATAAGACAGTGCTGTTGGCAATTAAAAAA